TCTCTCTCTCTCTCTCTCTCTCTCTCTCTCTCTCAAAATAAATAAATAAACTTAAAAAAAATAAACTTATTTTAAAAAAAGAAGGCTGAAATAAATAGATATACCATGACTCAATATTGTTAAGATATCAAGATATCAATTATTCCCAAAATGTTCCACAGATTCAGTGAAATTCTAATCAAAATCTCAGCAGTCTTTTTAGTAGTGACAAGCTGATTCTACAATTCATATGGAAATGCAAAAGATTTTAAATAACCAAAATAACTTAGAAAAGAACAACATGAGAGCATTAACATTGCTGATTTCAAGACTTATTATAAAGTTACAGTGATCAGGATAGTATATTAATATTGAGCCAGACAAACAGATTAGTGGAACAGAATAAAAACCCAGAAATAAAACCACACAAATATGGACAAATGGTCTTCATCAAAGATGCAAAAGCAACGCATTGGTGAAAGAAGAGTCTTTTCAACAAACGTAGCTGGAACACTTTGATCAAAGGTATATTATGGTATACCTAAGAGTTGATTTGCTGGGTCATATAGTATCTCTGTGTTTAACTTTGAAAAAAGAAAAAATTTTTAATGTTTATTTATTTTTGATAGAACACAAGGTGGGGAGGAGAAGAGAGAGAAGGAGACACAGAATCTGAAGCAGGCTCCAGGCTCTGAGCTGTCAGCACAGGGCCCAACGCGGGGCTCAAACTCACAAACCGTGAGATCATGACCCGAGCCAAAGTTGGACACCCAACTGACCAAGCCACCCAGGTGACCCTAATTTTTAAATTTTTAAATGTTTATTCATTTTTGAGAGACAGAGACAGAGTGCAAGCAGGGGAGAGGCAGAGAGAGAGGGAGACACAGAATACAAAACAGGCTCCAGGCTCTGAGCTGTCAGCACAGAGCCCGACGCGGGGCTCGAACCCACGGACCATGAGATCATGACCTGAGCTGGTCAGTCACCCAACGAACTGAGCCACCCAGGCACCCTGTCTCTGTGTTTAACTTGTTAAGGAAATCCCAGCTATTTTCCAACAGTTCCCACCAGCAATGTTGAAGGCTTCAATCTCTCCACATCTTTGCCAACATTTATTATCATCCAGGTTTTTTGATTTATAGCCATCCTAACAGTTGTGAAATGGTATCTCTTTATGGTTTTCATTTTCATTTTCCCAATGACTATGTTGAGCATTTTCCATGTGCTTATCGTTCTATTTTAAACGTCTGTTTTTTATTGAATTATCTACCTCAACTCCTTTTAGAAGGTAGTTTATAAATTATCAATAAATAATAAATGCTAGTATTCTGTCCTAATCATTCTTAAAATTATACTACATCTAAGGTAACAGAATGAGTTCTAAACTATTAAATCCTTTTCATGGTTTTAAAAATAAATTTCTAAAAATAAAAAAACTTTATTATAGTGTGGGGTAACAGTCTTTCCATCCTGGAACTATGGCCTAGTTTGTCCATAACCTTGCAGAGAAGGCCCCAGGGCTGGTGAATGAACACCAGCATTTGGTGCTGGTAAGGTCACAACTTACCTGAAGCCCCGACTGGCCACATTTTGGCGCTATGCCAAATTAAGCTGGCTCCTCCAATTCCTGCTGAGATCCCTACAGCTATTCAGAGCTTGAAAAAAATAGCCAAAAGCACTCAAACTGGTAGCTTCAAAAGGTTCACAGTTAAGGAATCTCGCTGACTGGTTTGGAGGCCACTGAGATGTGGATGTGGTTTTATGTCGGTAAGATCATAGGCAAGCATGGCATCATTGGCTATAATGTTTGAAGACCAATCTTTAACATCTATTTACATTTGGTTTGTTATTTGAGCCCTCTTGGACCATGTGTAATCACACTGGTATTTGAATAAACTAAGATAACGTATCAAAAAAAAGATACTATAGCATTAAAGTGCTTTTTCATTTCATAAACAGAAGCTAATTAAAAGGGCAGCACACTCACTACAAATAATGCAAAGGAAAAATCTTCACAATCCAAATTATAAATTGTCCAAAGTGAAATAAAGAAGAGTAATCAGTCATATCTTCTAAAATACTGTGTGTACCATGACAGATTTAGTACCACTTTTAAAATACGTAAGGTTCATATCCATCATAAAAAAGAGCCTACCATCTTCAATGGCATTTTTGATGGCACGAAGTCCATCCCTTAGAGCATCCTTTATTTGTGTGAGAGTATGCTTATTTGGTCCTTTAACCAACAAGGTGACAGAACGAGGGTTAACACAGGCCTCGATAAAAGTGAACTTTTCTTCACCCTAGAGGGTAATCCAAGAAGATATAACTCTAATATTTAATGTCATTATGAAGTGAAGTCCTAGTTTATAATATTAGAATCCAATCTTGCAAATTTTTCTCATCAAACATAACTAAATAGACACTAAAAGCAGTTAAGTTATATTTGAACTCTTAACAAACATTTAGAAAGATAAATTGTAAAATACATCCTGGGGATTATTCAGATATCAAAAGGTAAAGCCTGAATGAAAAGATGTAGTACGTAAAAAAAAAAAAAAAAAAAAGTTTACTCTTCACTTTATAACCACTGCCCACAGATATACTCACTAATGTACACTCATGTACAAGACCAGCATGTCCCAAACAATGTATACTGAGGTCTTCAAGAGAATTCACAGCCATTCCACCACAAGCAAGAGAGAGTCTGAAATTACAGAGGTCGTCGTAGCTTTGATTATGGTAAGCATGAAAGACTTAATTTCTCAAAGGTGAAAAAATACCTAACACAGAAGACTGCATTGTCACTGTATTGTACTGTTTTTAAAATCTGGGTTTTTAAAAAAATTTTTAAGTTCATTTATTTATTTTTGAGAGAGAGAGAGAGAGCACACAGGGGAGGGGCAGAGAGAGAGGGAGAGAGAGAAAATCTCAAGCAGGCTCTGCACTCTCAGTGCAGAGCCCAATGTGGAGCTCAAACTCACGAAACCATGAGATCATGACCTGAGCTGAAACCAAGAGTCATATGCTTAACTGACTGAGCCACCCAGGCACCCCTAAAATCTGTTTTAAGAAGATGAAAACCTTCGTCCTGCAACAAAGTTCTGACGTAGGTTAACAATCTTGATTTTTGACATTTCCATTATTTATTGAAATTAAAAACAAAATTTGGAACATGTATGCTACTACTTTGCTCAACAATGTTTACATGCAAGTTAAAAGGAATATCATGGAATCATTTCAATTAAATCTGCTAAAAACTTAGGATACATAATTATCTGCAAGCTTACCTTTCCATATTTCTTCTTTTTGCCCTGCGAAGAGCTACTATGCCATGTTTTGCAAGAGCATCTAAGGAAAATGGATCAATTCCCTAAAATCAAATTAGCAAAAAGTTATAAGCACATCTTAAGCCACTAGTTCTCAAACTTTTTTTATCTCAGCACTGCTTCACATTCTTAAAAATTAAGAACCCAAAAAACTTTTGTTTATGTGGACTCTAAGTTATCATAAATTAAAATTCAAAATAATAGTAAACTCATTTTATGTTAACATAAATAACATTTTTAAGTGAAAACTTACTATACTTTCATAAACAAAAAAATATGTAGGTTAAAGTAATGGCACGGTTTCACATTTTTTATATCGTTTTAATGTCGGTCTTAACAGAAGACATATGGAGTCTCATCTGCTTCTGCCTTCAATATGGTGTGACATCTTGTTTTGGTTAAAGTATATGAAGAAAGCTTGGCCTCACACAAATACATATTGGGAAAAAGAGGAATATTTTAATAACTTTTCAGATAAATGTGGGTGTTCTTCTTTGATACTACACCAAAACTCAATAAATAATAGTTTCTTAAAGGTTAGTTTCGAGGTGAAATATGGAACTTATCAATAAACTTTTCTTCTTTAAATTTTTTTTAAAATGTTTATTTTTAAGAGAGAGAGAGAGGGACAGAGTGTGAGCGGGGGAGGGATAGAGAGAGAGGGAGACACAGAATCCAAAGCAGGCTGCAGGGTCTGAGCTGTCAGAACAGAGCCCAGCACGGGGCTCAAACTAACGAACCCTGAGTTCATGACCTGAGCCAAAGTCCAACACTTAACCA